CAGGCAGTGCGGGACGAGATCAAACAGGATCCCAAACTACGTTCCCTGACCACAGGTCAAACTGTCTCGGGTGTGCAATACTTGCTGGCCTACTTGAGCTACATACGCCATAGCCGTACACTTCAGCGCAATTTATGTTTGGTTGATCAGGTAAGATCCAATACTTTCATTGTTGCTCCCATCTAACTGTCAATTTATTTTCACAGGCCAAGTTGAACTTTGTTGATCCCAATCAGCAGCGAACCCAGACTCAAAGCGAAGGCAAACGCGTGCGCCCCCAGGATTTGGCGCGTCTATACGAGATCATCTTGCAGAATGTCACCGAAATGCAGCTAATTAGCGGCATGGAAGAGGATGCTCAATATCAGAGCGAGGTGGCCAATTTGGCGCTTACATTTAAGGCTTTCCGCTGCTATTACATTGCGCTCACCCTGATCGATATGAAAAAGTGGAAGGAGGCTGTGGCGCTATACGAACGCGCCTCCAACTATGCTAACGATGCGCTCAAGGGCCGCTCCTGTGCCGAATTCCAGCTACAATCGGAGCTAAAGAAAATGGTTTCCTCAATCGATGGCAGCAAGTTCTCGGCACACGCGTACAGCGTGCTGGAGGATGACAATAGCGAGGATGTCGGCGGTGTCTCAACTAAATCGCAGAAAACAACGAAACCGCTGTACGAGCGCCTCTCTCAATATAAGGAGGACCAATCGCTGCACACCCGGGCGCCGAATGTTTTTAAGTTGACGCCCGATATGGAACCCATACCCTGCAAACCGCTGTTTTTCGATCTGGCTATGAACTACTTGGAGTTGCCATCCCTGGAGGACAAGCTTGAATCGCCCGGCAAGAAGGGTGCCTCCATTACGGGCTTTGTAAAGGGCTTCCTTGGCTGGGGCGGAGGTGGCAATAAGTGAGACCTCAGCTGCACGATCACAACTTGAAGCCCCTAATGAAATTCCATGTTGATGTTGCTTTTATAAAAACGTCCAACCAGCTTGAACGTTTATTATTTGTTTTTGCTTTTAGATCCCGGCCCTTTTTTTTAAGTATAGAAACCAACAACCAGCCAACACAAAACAAACATTTATCGACAAAATTTGTTTAAGTTACAATAGTGAGGAATTATTGGTAATAAAGGAAGCTACAATTGCTGTAACTGCCCCTGTTATACTGCCCTAGATCCCGACCAGGATAAAGATTTAAGATTACGAATTGTCTTAATTAACATATTGGCTGTATTTTTATTAAGAAGAAGATATAACTAATACTACAACTATTTACACGCCCAGATAACCATGCTCGTAGAACTCCAGCGCCAACTCCCTGATGCGCAGATGATACTCCGGCGTCAGCTTCAGCGTACAATTAATCTCTTTTCCATTTAAGTTCAGCTCACTTATCGCATCCAGATCGGGTATGTTATTGGGATCGAACGTGACCGCCGGCAATATCCACATGGATATGGCCAATCCGTAATGCACGTGACGCACATAGTCCTCGCTGAGTCGCTGCAGCGAGAAGGTTTCGCACAGTTCACTCAGATGGTTGGCCGCCGGTGTGTGACGCAGCTGTTGGCCCAGTTCCTTACGCAGAGCCTCCGCATAGGCGGCTAGCAATGTATCCGTGTGCACATCGCGCAGCTGCCGGCGCGTGCTGGTGTATATAAAGTGAAGTATATCAAACACGGGCGAGGTGCGTCTCATGGCCTGTAGATCAAAAAAGATGACCTCCTCGGGCTGCGAACGAAACATTAGATTGTTGACCCACAAGTCACCATGGCAGATCACGCTGAACGGAGTTGCTGCCGCCGTTATAATGCTTCGGTGTAGTTGCTCAAACAGATGCGGCTGCAGCTGCTCGATGAGGCGTATGGGTGCCGATAGGTTACCATCCGCATTAGAGGCATTCAGACTGTCTAGCGCCTGCTGCACCGATGTGTCCAGTATGCGAGAATAGAACTCCGCCGCATCCGGGCAGTATACAATTTCCGTCATGTGCGCGCACTGCTGTGCAAAATGCGCCGATTCCAGATGCTGTGCGGCCAGTGAAGCGGCATGCAACTGCGCCAGTTTCTAAAAATGAACAAGACATCGGTGCATGTTGTGTTTGATTGGGATGTAGCAGCTCGTCTACCTTCATCACAAGGAGGCAGTGTCGCAGCTCCAGACCTGCCAGGCGATTCTTCATGCGGAAGCCGAGTGCTTTGAGGTCCTGCAACACAATGATGGGCTCGCCACTCGGGCTTCCATCATCGAGGGCGGCTATGTGGCATTGCGGAAATAACGGCTGCTGACTGTAGCGGCAGAGTAACGGTACCACGTGCTGATAAACATTAATCTCATTTGTGAAGGCCTCCCCGCAACGGTACAGCTGACGGCGCGAGATGCTAGCAATTTGACGCTTGATGATGACTGAGCAGATGGCAGACGCAGCGGCAGCTAAAAGAAACAAACGAAATCAAAAACAAAACAAAACAAAACGGCGAGGAGAGCAACGCATGCAACTCTCTCGCGCTCTCCTGCAAGCAAAACAGCTGATTTTTGTTTACGCGGCATAGTAAAATTTATGAATGAAACTGTTTGCTCTTTGTCAGAATGCTTGTGAGTGTGTGTGTGTGTGTGTGCGAGAGAGCCGCTCAGTTGCCGTCCATGTTCATGTGTATGTGTATGTGCGAGCGTGTATGTGTGGGCGAGTATGCGTGTTGACCTTTAGCAAATATATATTACATATCGTATATCTATGTATATTGCATTTAGAATTCGTATAACAAGGTCAGTTGACGCCGCCGCTAAATGTGCGGCAACAACAACAACGCGAGCAACAAAAATTAATCAATAGGCTGAACGCAGCTTGAGTGCAATTCCAGTGTTGCCAGTGTTGACTACGTCTCCAGCTTAGACAGCTTCCATACCCATTTGGCTATCATCGCCCGCCGCATCATGGATTGTCACACGCTTCACCAAGGACATGTAGTTGTCGCCGCTGCTGCTGCCCGCGCTGCAGGCGATTTGGCCAATGCTAAAGTTCACCAAATTCTTAGCTCGAAACAGTTGGCGCAAATACTCAATGTCCTCCACATATTGGTTGCCGTTGCCCACATTTGATAGTCCTATTGTTTTTGTTGTCATATCAGTTGTTGCCATTTTGCTTGCTGCCAGCTCGCAACTGATTGGAAGTCTGAATTGGAGTTAATACTGAGCGTGCAAACCGAACTGTGCGCCTAATTTAGTGGTTTGTGCAACTGCAGCATTTTAGAAACATTGCGCCAGTGACACAATTTTGTAATTGGGCACAGGTCAGTTTCATATGCTGTATTGTATAATAATTATAATTTTCGCCTATGCCATTGATTTTTGTTTCTTTCTGTGCACTAATTGAAATTTGTTTTCGGGCTTTTTGCTGTTTTCGCACAGCCGTGCAAATGCGTTTAACTGAACCGACCGCCGAACCGCGCGCTGCGCTGCACAACGGACAACTGAGCCAGAAAGCCAGAACGATTTTCTATTGCAATAAGAATGGACTCACCAACACACACACACACACGCTCAGAGCAAAACGTCGCTGCAGCTGATGCCTTTTCTTAATATATGTATGTTAGTTTTTATTTTCCAAAAACATATGTGTGCATGCATGTGCAGAGTGTGCTTCGCTCTCACTCATTGCTTTGCGCACTTGTGTGCATCTCGTTCTCCCTGCATAGCTTCTCAACAAATCCCGATATCTACAACACACACACACATACATATGTTTGTTTTGTGTGTATGTGCGCACAAGAAGATCATGCGTTTGTCGCGCGAGCCACAGACACAAACTTTTACTACCACAGGCACATTGAAATGCTCTTTCATGTAGTTCTTCGCCTGGTCAGGCATTATGAGAAGAATCTGATCTATTTTTATTTAATATAAATTTTTATGACCATAATGAAATATTTATATTTTATATGCCAATTTTTTTGTTTACTGTGGGGACCTATTTTTCCTAAATAAAAAAAACTAAGTCGTATTTCTGCAAGAGTAATTCATCGTCGGCTTGTCGAAGAAGTAGACAAAAAATTGGAATATTTAATATAAATATTTCATTTAAGTTTTTATTTGATTATTCGGCTGTTTTACGTATCGATTTGATTTTATTTGAGAGCGCTCGCGCTCTCTCTCTCTCTCTGTCTCTCTCAACCTCTCGCTATCGACTCTAGTCGCAGGTGCATTTAAAAAAAGCCGGCAGACATTGGAGGTAAACGCGTTGCTCTCTTATTACTGTTGCATTTTTTTTTTATCTACGAGTGCTTTAATGTTCAAGGTAGGGTCAGTGCGAACTTTCACTCATTGAGCGTGAGTGCACGGTGCGTATGCTTAACATCGGCAAAGGCAAAGCGGATGTGATGTTGCTCATACGCCGCATTGTGCAAAGTCGTTTGCATTGCGCCACAATTGCGTGCACTTGAAATTGCATAAGCCGTCCTTGGGACCTGCGTCCAGTTTGTGTGTGTGTTTGAGCGCAGTTTATTTGTGTGCTTCGAAACGTTGTCTTAGTTCATAAATTTAAATATGAATTGAAGGCTTTTCAGAAACAACTGTGTTTTAATCACTGAACAGTTTATTAAGACATTAACTTTAGTGCTTCCTTTTTATATTTACTATTTAATAATATCATAGTATGTAAATTGGTTGTCTTTATCCGTTGACATTTCTTATTCTTTCTAATAGCAGACACACTTATTATTGAATAATACAACAAAATCAGAGGTGAAGCATGCCAAACAATGCAGCCACAGCAAATCAGTTTTAGCATTTTAATATGCAGCTACAAAATGCCAATTAATTAAATATCAAATTCGACATGGCCAATAAATAAACACCAATTTGTTGGACCACTCCCCGAAATAAAGCGAAACGGCGAGTCAACAATGTAATTACCGCAGAGTTATATCAAGATACGCACCTGTGCCGCCTGCACGGCAAGGTTCAAGGTAACCCGAACAGACACAAGATACCCGCCCGGCCACAGCCCCAAGCTGGCCCGAGCTGCTTCCGCATCAGCTGGTTGAATAACCCCAGCATAGACAACTGGCAGCCATAGCAAATTAGGGTCAAACATGTGCAGCTTCATGCTCAGCCAAGCGTTCCAAGCGAGTCTGAAACTGCGACATCGAGTTAGTTGAGCATTCAATTTCAGGGTCAATCTACACTTTCAAATCTCGGAATCGCAAACGCAATCGCACTTGGATTTGGGTTCGGATTCGGATTCTAAGCAAATTACACGTATACACAAGCCAAACAATGTTTATACCCTGTAGTCAATTGGTAAGCAACGGGTATAATAGCTGGGTGCAAATGTGACAGGCTGAAGGAAGCTGACCGCAGCTTAGGAAGAACGAACTGAGTCTGTCTGAATTTTGTAATTTTCGTAATTTTCGTGAACCAGAATATTTATTAATTATATATAAACATTTGTTAGAGTTCGAACTATAGAGATACAATGTCAATCAATGTCTGTGAGGCAATCCCGGCTCTCGGTGCAGGGTATGTTCTAGTCGGTATGTTGTTGTAAGAGTGTGTGCAATTTGACCAAAACAGCGACCGGCAACTGGCGACCTTTTTTGGCGGGCATTTTGTGGAGCATGAGAAACTGAAAACAGCTGAAAAACTGACGCATTTAATTGCACAAACTATGGCCTAGGCCTAGGTCGGCGCACTAGCTGAAGCTTACACAGTGCTCTTACGTTCATAATTAATATAATAATAATAAAATATATATATGTATATACCCGAAGCCAGCTGCCGCCTTCAAAGTACGCTCACGGCTCGACGACAACTTTGAGCGTTTTTGCAGCGCTTTTGTCTCAATTCAGTTGAGTGAAACTCGTTCTTGTGGCATTCAACGTGAAACACATAAAAGTACGCCCGCTCGTTATTTGAGATTCAGTTACAAATTCAGTTTCAACTTTACTAGCCAGCTGCCAGCTGCCAGTTCCAGCCCCAGTTGTTGTCCAGTGTTAAATATTGTGAGCCATAAACAAATTGTGGGCGTTCCAGATCTCTATTCAGATCACAATCAAAAAACAGATATGCATTGGATATTTGAATATATGAATCTGGCCTTGACTTTGGCTTAGTTCTGAAGTGACCAAAAATTTCAATTTATTTATTGTTAAATTGTGACTAAGACTGTGAAATATTTAAGCCTAACTGGAGCACACTGACAATTCAAATGCTGCCGTTGTGCCCCATGCATGCTGTCCAGTGTTATCAGCAGCAACAAAAACGTCAATTGTGAAAAGTTCATGGATAAAACTCCAGTCCGTGCAACACCAGCCGCAGCAGCAGCAGCAGCAGCAGCAACAATGCGTTTGCTGCATTTTGAGTCCGAGTCGTGTGTCTGGTCGCTCCACTTGTTGGCGCGATAATTGATTTATCCGTAAATAATTTATGATGCACGTAACTGACAGTTTTTTGCTGAAAGATTAAAAAACGCACCCAAAAAAATAATAAAGTCAGGCATATCATTTATTAGCTTTCAATTAACTAGCCAATATGGAACGGTCAGTTACAATATGTTCTCCTCTCTTGCAGCGATCATGTGGTCCACCCGCCTACTTCATTTGCTTGGTTGCCTTGCGCTGGCCCTCAGCACGGCTCGGGCGCAGTTCTTCTACCATCAGGCTTTGGGGCTGCCAGCGAAGGTCGCATATGAGCCAGCATCGCCATATGTGGGATATGCCACGGCAGATGCGCATCCGTCGGTGGTTAAAAATGCCCAATGGGAGTCGCAGCTGCCGAGTGAACTATCCAAAAGTGCCCGCTTCTACAGCGATCCGGTCATAGCTGCCAATCTGGCCAAGGAATCGCTGCTGACGCGCAAGGAGATGGCGGTTGTGCATCGCGAGGCGGAAAAGATTCCACGCGAACAGGTCTACAAGCTCTTCAAGAACGCGGGCTACTTGAGTCGCAGATAGACGGAAAAACAATTTCCATTTCCCAAGTGCCTTGTTGTATTCTAGTTTGTAATTTGTTGCATATGTTTATTATGAAGTCGTAATATACTCAAACATGTTTTTGTAATGCTCTTCGGATCGTTTACACGCCAGGTTCAGGGCATAAATTATGGCAGTAAGAAGGTCAGAGTCAGAGAAGGTCAGCAAAAGCACAGTTTGATTTTCATTTAATACGTTATGAAATAACTAAAAGAAATCATTTAGCAGTCCCCTGATAAGGAAATAATTGTTTGATGATGCAAAAAAGGAATTTGTTATGTGTGAGACTACTAAGGATTTACTAATATTATATACAGGTTATAAAATTGTGATTAATTATAGTACAAATAGTTCGGCGCCATTGCTGGGAAATGTGGCAAAGACAACTTCATTGAAATCATTGGGCTGATAGCGCTCCAAGAGATGCGCCGGCAATTGAGCATAGTACTCACGCTTCAGCACCTGAACGTAATCGGCGGCTGCTTTAACTGAATCGCACATGGCCACAATGCAGCCTCCCCAGCTGTAAAGTTTGAAGAGTCTTTGTTAATGACTGAAAGGTTGGAGGATGTAGTTGTATGCTCACCCGGCACCCGTGACACGTGCGCTGACCCCTTGTTTGACGGATAAGGCAATGAGACGCTCCAAGTCCGGATGAGAGCACTCATAGAGCTCGCGCAGGCTCTGATGCGACTGCTGCATTAGCTTGCCCAGCTGCTCAATATCCTGCTTGCTTGCGCGGCGCTGCAGCTGCTCACAAATTTGTCTGAACTGGACAACTCGACCAGACTCTGTAGGAAATTGTACGGTAATATTAAATGCAAGCACAAAAGGCTGTGAAACTTACCCTGGATAACATGCAAGGCGCGTTGGCGCAGCTTGAACTGCTGCATGTGCTGCGTGCTGGGCGTTAGAAAATCCGTTTCAAGTTCCTGTTCCGTGATGCCCAGCTCCTCGCAAACGTCCTCGCGTGTATAAAGCATTCTCTTTAACTGCTGTTGAATCAGTTGGGCGTATGCAGCATTATCTAAATTGCAGGCCTCCTCCAGATCTATGAATCTAGTGTAATCCTTCCAGTTAGGCAGCTTCTGTGACTTGGCCAGCCAACGAGTAGCCAGACGGCACTCGACAACGCGCTCATTGTAGTCGGAAGATGCTGCTTTTCGCTTCTGCACGAGACTATTGGCCACCACAAAGCAACTGCCAGCGGGCAGCGTTACGGGCGTACCCTTAAGTTTTGGATGGAACTCAATGTGCTGGGCACAACCCTCCTTTGCTAGATAAGCAATAGCTTGATCCATGCCGCCGCTATGTGTGCCAATATATTGCTCACAGCTAGCTGAAATCGAGGCTAGCTGCTTGCGATCCAGCTGCATGCCCTGCACGTGTCCAGTGGCCAGCACAGCGGCGCTAACCAACGCACTAGAGCTGGACAAGCCAGCAGCAAGTGGCACATTGCCGCTAAGTGCAATGCGCATGCCAATGGGACGCCACTTCTTCTCCAGCTCCTCCTGTATGCCCTTGATGCCGCATAAGAAGTAACTGTACCAGGCCGGACCGCCTGTCTTGGGCAGCTTGATGCTAGCAGAGGAAAAATTTGAATTGTAATAGAAAATGTATTGAATGACAAACATTTAACCTACTCAAGGGCATTTAGATCGCAATCAAAGCTTTGGAATTTACCCTCATCCAGATGATGTAGTTCCAGATGTGCCTGCTCTGGGCTTGTGCCTACAGCCAAAATGATGCTCTGCTCAACAGCCATGGGCAGGACCGAATAGCCGCAGTAGTCCACGTGTTCACCTATAATATTAACGCTGGCGAAGGACATACATACTATGTGTATATATATATTAGTGTGAATGTCGGCATCAGCTTACCGTCCTGGTACGCGCACATAAAACTCTGGCTCAACGCCGTATTGCTGCTTGTAGAAGGCGCCCAGGCTCATTAGGCGCTCATAGATCGGAGCCTCTGGCTGGAGTTTTTGCACGGCTACATGCTCGTCACCCACATTGCGAGCTGCGACTGTACCACTTCCACTTTTTGCTGCCATTTTCTGACCTGCAACGGAAAATACAGTCCCTAGTTATGTGGCTGTTAACGTGTCACAATACCCCGTTAAGCCATAATAACAATAACACAGGCTATAAAAACCGAGTACGTAAACAAAACTAGCTACACACATACAGCATTTGTGCATATGTAAAATGTGTGTATAGAAAAGGTGTGCACATTCTTGTTATCAGCCCGGCTCTCACCTTATCACAATGTCATTGGAACGATTAAAGCTTGCAACGATTAACTAACATGGGAGATATTGGCTGCGAAAGTGTTGTACTGTTGTAGTTGTTATTAAATTGATGCAAATTGCATTAATTTAATTGAAAGAATAACTGCAAAGTGCACGAACTTTTAACTTGCAAATTGCGCCGGCAAAAATCGAGTGCCGCTGAGAGGGCGAGAGAGAGCGAGCGAGATAGAAAATCCAAATTTAACAGCTGTTATGAAGGCACTGCCAGGCTCAAGATAAATTTTATATTGGCGGACTTTTTAAGTGTATTTAAAAAATACTTTCGTATGCTTTCGTTAAAAGTTCAATAAACCCAGCAGTAGTTAATGTAGTACATACCCAATAATTTTTATCACCCTTTTCAATAGCTTGAAACACTTGCACAGGGCTATTACGTTATCAAATAAGTGGGCAGAAAACCTTTTTATATTTCTGTATTAGTATGACGCGAACGCAATGCCATCCAACGGGCAACTGAGTGTTCAGCTCATTCAGTTTCCGTTTTTGTTTAGGCAGATATCAACAAAATGTGCACTGTAACTGGAGTGCTCGACATCGTCTTGAGTTTACATTAGCTGTTTGTTATCAGCCTGGGTTCCATGTAGGTCATGCTCATACCGGAGTGACTACGGCCAGGCATCAAATCTTCACTTTCTTTGCTATCAAGATTTTATGCGCTTTTGGAAACTGGTTTCCAATTGGTATGCGTGAATTAAGAAATATATTTTTGTTCGGTCAAGCAGTCAAAGCTGATTACTACTAGACAAATAACATTTCCTCCATTAAGTATTTTAATAGTTTTTTACAATTTCAGTATTTAACTTGAAACCGCCGATTAATATAAAAGGTTATCGATAAGTTATAGCAAGGACTACGCATACTCGATATTAATCGAATTTCTATTCCATGTAAGCAACAAATAGGATCAGAAAATGTAAAAGTATTATTGACTGCTCACCAAGTTACGAATCAGGTATTTTTAGACCTACAGGTAAAAACACTTCCACTGCTGCGCATTCTAATCACAGGCAACTGAACCATCGATAGATATTAGGACAGCTGTTCAAATATGGCTCTGTTTAGTCTCGTTAACATACTAGAAACAATCGAATGCCATGTAGCAGCTGTTAAATTAGTTTTCGGCGGCACTTAGAATAACTTTTTTCAATAAACCTTTGATATTTCTTAGCGCACTGCATGAGCATACATATTATCCGAATAAACTGTTCAATTTCAGGCAATCTAATAAATCAGTAACATAAGTATTAATGAGCATACTAATGCTTGCTGTTATTAACATTTCAGTGAATGTTAAAGTTTTGAGGCGCCCAACAGTAACGAAAACGTAGTGAAGAAAAAAACAAATTTACAATTTTTAGTAATTATACCATCTGCAATTATTGCGCAGACAATCCGCAGGCAATGTCGAGTTTACAACGTACAATACTTAAGTCGAAACTGCCACCCACCATTCCGGGTGGCCGGATTGGCAGAGCGTAAGTTTTTCCCACGTATTTTTAGTATGTGGGCGGAGAATGGAGGACACGCTATCTAATTGATATAAAAACATTACAGAGATTCCTTTAAAAAGTCACGTATAAGGGACTACAAGCCATGCATGTGGAACGAGTTCTTTGCCGAGAAGGCAGATGTCGTCGTGGATGAGCACCGCACATTTCGCGTCTATAAAACTAAACAGCCCGAGAAACCGGGCCCCGTATTGTTATTACTGCACGGTGGGGGCTATTCGGCGCTTACCTGGGCGCACTTTTGTGTATGTACTTTAAATTCTGTGTATGTGTAAGAGCGATAATAATATCCTATCACAATCCGTTTTACCCTAAAGTCGGAAGTGACAAGCATGATACACTGTCAGTGCCTGTGCATCGACCTTCGGGGACACGGCGACAGCAGAGTGGATGACGAGGACGACTTGTCGGCAGACACTCTGTCAAAGTAAGTGCTAGCCTGTTGCTCTTATGTGTAAGTGTAGTTTGTGTGTGTGTTTGTGACTAAGCGTTTCTGTGTGTACTTAGGGACATTGGCGATTTGGTCGTGAAACTGTATCCCGAGGAGGTGCCACAAATCTATGTGGTTGGCCACTCGATGGGCGGTGCTATTGCTGTACATTTTGCATATATGGCGTTGGTGCCGAGTCTGATTGGCATCACAGTCATCGATGTCGTCGAGGGCACAGCAATGGAAGCTTTGGCTAGTATGCAAAGCTTTCTGCGCTCGCGTCCCAAATACTTTCAGAGCATACCAAATGCCATCGAATGGTGCATACGCAGCGGACAGGTGCGAAATGTGGACAGTGCCAAAGTCTCGATGCCTGGACAAATAATCAAGTGAGTGACGTCAGCGTGAAAAGAGCTTTTATTTTATTGATTATTATTTTCGTTCTAGCTGTACAACGAATAAATTGGCAACGAATGATCTTCCCCTGACGGATGAAGTGCTGGAGGAGGCGCATCATACAAGCATGTTTCCAAATGCATTTAGCATTTCCGAAGATGAAGAGGTGGGCAATGCCGGTGAAGACGGAGCCGAAAGTGTCGACTTCAAGAAACCCACAACGACCAAGGCCGCAACGGATGCGGCCAAGAAGTAAGTTTTCTGATTTTAAAGACGACAGACTATTAACCATTTGATCCTTACAGCTACACCTGGCGCATCGATCTGGCCAAATCGGAAAAGTATTGGGTCGGCTGGTTTTCGGGCCTTAGCGACAAGTTCCTCAATTTGAGATTACCCAAACAGTTACTTCTGGCTAGCATCGATGGACTAGATCGCACCCTAACTGTTGGCCAGATGCAGGGACGCTTCCAGATGCAGGTGTTGGCACGCTGCGGCCACGCCGTACACGAGGACCGTCCACACGAGGTAGCCGAGGTAATCAGCGGCTATTTGATACGCAATCGTTTCGCGGAGGCCGCAGGCGAGTTTCGCTGCCACATGCCATCCTGTTAAGCGACGTCCTTGTACAATTGTAGCACAAAATGTCTATTTTTAAATGGAGCATTACAGATTGCGTATACATATATGTACACACAGAAACATAGAGAATAGAAACAGAAGATATACTCGAGACGTAATATCTATATATAAATATATACTCCAATAATTTATTCGATTACTTAAACAAATCCATATGTATTTTCAAGTATCGTAGTTTTTCTCGTTTTGCCAAATTCCATATGGAACCAGCATAAAGAGTGTGGAGACCCGAGTTTGAGGCCTCCCAATTGCTTTGAGTTGCGCTTCTTAAATTGTTGGAGCTGTGTGCGTTTTTGTCTGTATTAAATATGTGCCAGATGAAATTAAAATTGATACAAAATCATTATTATATTATGTCAAGTAAATAAGTTTAATAAAACGCTAAAATGATTATATTAGACGAATGTAAATTTCTGTTAGCGCATAAGAGTATGCAATTGTTTTAAGTATACGCAAGAAGTTCGGTTGCTCAACGGTTTTTCCAATTTATTCGTCGTATAACACTATTTCTATACGTTAAACATTTAACACATTATATTTTAAACTTCATTCTAGTCCACAAAACGATAGCCTCCGTCAGCCTTCATCTTTATTTTGGTCTCCAATGCACGGATGCGATGCAAACGCTCCGATATCTGATCGTGTATCTCAGGACGGTATTTTTTACCCTGCCCCAGCGCCTCCATCTCGGCCAGCCAATCTGCACGCTCGTTTATTTGATCCAGCACTGCGAAAGGAATATATTAAACACGAGTGCAAACCCAACAAATTCTAGCCGACTCACATTCGTTGATTATATCGTTTTCGGTGACCAAACGATCTTCACGGGAACGACGAAGCGGCTTTATAGCCGGATCAGGCAATTCAACACCTGCCATGGTCAATTGCAGCTTGGATTTGGCCTTATCGCTGATCATGCGATTGTCCACTTTCGGGCGATAATAGGTCTTCTCATAGGCGCCGCTACCTTCAATTTGGCGCAGGTTTTTTCGTTTGGCATTGCGCGCACGCTCTAGTATAGCCAGAGTTTCCTTGTTAAGATCATTGTTGGTGTTGGGACGCGGCGGTTTTGGCAACGGCAGCGGCTCTCCATTGCGCAGACTGTTATCGATTTGCTTGCGCATAATCATGGACATCTTGGACTCTTTCATGAGCACTGGAACAGGGAACATGGAACAGGTAAGTGCTACGAAAGACAATCGATACTTACGCTTCAGTAAATCGGCAGTCTCCTTGCTGTACTCCACTTTTGGAGCATGAAAGGCGCCGCTGCCACCGGGCCCAATGCGCTCGCTCGGCCACAGGGGCAACTGCTCCTCATTGCCATTAGCTGGCGGCTGGCCTGATTGTTGCAGCTGCTGCTGGTGTTGCTGCTGCTGCTTCAACAGGCCCGAGGTCAGCCCATCTAGCTGCACATTGTTATAGCGATGCCTGTTCATGATGCGAATCGTTCGAATTTTGCTATGATCTGATTTCAGTATATATATATATATATATATATTTATATGTATTTCGATTCCTTTTCAACAGTTGTGTGTGTAATTGATTGTACGTAAAATAACAGGAGACTCCGCCGGAGACGCATGGCAACCTACGTTGTTAGGCAACCAGGTTGTGGGAAAAAACACATCCACCCACCCACCCACAAATACACTCAAACACATATTAATTTTTGAAATAATTTATTTAAAATAAATATATATGTTTGTATGTATATGTGTATTGGTAGTAGGTACACTCTTGAATGCTCACATTTGATAATTCGTTTCGTTCTTTGCCTGCAATGCCCCGCCTTGCACGCCCCCCTCAATCCCATCTGACTTTAATGTGATTTGATCTATGTACTATTTAATTAACTTGACTTTATGCACAATTCTTGTTTATAGTTGAACCTTTACCTATTAAACCATTTTTTTAGTTTGAACTTTTTTATGGCTATCAATTTTGTTAATATATATATATATATATATATATATATAATATACATTTCTTTGCAATTTTTAAATATTAACAGAACATTTTTGTTGTGTTTGTGTGTATTGTTTTTCTTGTAATTGTTTAATAAAAAACCAATTTAATTTGTTTGTCAAGCATCAGCCATATATATATATATGTATGTATATACATTTTTGCAATTTTTATGCATTTCGTTCAATTTGTACACACAAAATATTTATTTAAGCTAACAATTTGTTTAAATTTTCTTATAATTGTCTGTGGCCTACAGCGGTCCACTCTCGTTTATATTTTAGCTTAAGCTTAGTTACAAAGCAATCGCGTTCGATATTTGACATATATATGTATATATATGTTTATATATAGCAATTCTCAAAACAATAAACAACATAATCGATTGCCATCATTATCATATACAGCACATGATTACAAACAATTGAATAAGCCTAAAAGCGAAACAAAACATATAAAATATATATCTGTAAATATATATATGTGGTACAATGTCTGATAACATGCATGGGAGTTTTTGATTTTTTTGTTGTTGTTTTTTTTTTTTGGCTTATATTCTTACTACTTATACAAAATACAATATGTGTTGCGTTAGCTTTATGCTCCTAAACCTCATCTCTGCATTTCATTACAACTCAAATATAAGACAATTTCTTTAAGTGTTTACAATTACAGTTTAAAGTTTTGTTTTCAGCAATTACGTTCCTTTAAATTTAAAATAAATTATGTGTATATATATATATTTATATATATATATATATAGTTCATTATGTGACTTTCAGCAAGCAACGTTTTTGATTCGCGTGTGTTGTGTGTATCGTTTGTAGCTTCAAACATGTTTTATTTTTCCAGCTTTTCTAGTTCTTATAGTTGCGAATATAGTAATCTTAGTCAGTCTCATGGTCACGATGCAGAGTTTATATTATATCATTTATTAACATATGCATGCATATATATATATATATATATATATATATATATATATATATATATATATATATATATATATTGTTATATATATATATATATATTGTATGCAATTTCGTCGTCGACGTCTGAATTAGAGCGGGGGCAGCGTCAGAATAGCGTAAAATGTTGATCAAATTTGGCCAAATTTTCCTATAGAGAGAAAGTTGTGTTTTGTTGGTTGCTGGTTTGTTGTTATTGTTGTTGGTTTTGTTGTCTTATTATCTTGTTGCATTCTGCATTGAGTTTGCGATTAGTTGGAACTACATTTAGACATGTTCAACTTAAACATTAATAACGTTGGCAGCAAAACGGCGCCTCTGGGTCGACTCTGGTGCTGTGCTCTAGCTGTGCCAAGTGGCTCGGAGTGGGGGAGTTATCAGCTAGACCCTGCCAGTTTTGAACGGCCAGCCGTTGCACTGTGGTTGCAGCAGCTCCAGAGTTACACAGCGGTCGCTTCATTTAACATAATACACATACACATTCACAGATTTAAAGACGCTAACATGGAAAATAAACTTAATATTAAACAAACTTTTTAGTGTCTTACATAACTAAAAACGATTACAAAACAACTCTCAATCCAATCGAGTTACAATATACATAAACACACACGCATACAGACAGACAGACAGACAGACACACAAGTACGTAAAATTTCAACATTGAATTTCAATATAGCCAAAAGAATACACTGCCAACAGTTTAGTTCATTGCCTGCTCAGTCATTTGGCGACACAGTGTCTCCAACTGCTCCAAACTCTTGAAGTCATTCATTTTATAATCATGTGGCGGCATATGAAAGCTGTCCTTAATTGAGTTCATGCTTAGATTGATGAGCTGCGGCTGAGACAGGCAGTGATCCACATTGTTGTTATTTATGTTATTATTATTATTATTATTATTATTGTTGTGGCTGTTGTTGTTGTTAGGCTGCTGGCAGACACTATTGCTACAGATTGCGCTACAGGCAATTACATCGTCATTACCATCACCAGGACACAAACAGCTGCCATTGCCGACAGCAGCAGCGGCGGCAGCAGCTGCTAAGACTTCCAGCTGCTGATGATTAATCAAATTGTTGTTCAATATACTGTTGTTATTATTGTTATTGTTGTTGTTAATTAAAATTTGTGGCGGCTGTTGCTGCTGCTGAGCGGATTCATTTTGATTTGCACTACTAACCATTACCACAGCGGCCATCGTCTTCTTCGGTTGCTGCTCGACAGTGGATACTCCATTGGATCCAGTGAGACCATTCAGGCTGGGCTTGCGCTGCTGCTGCTGCTGCAGGTTGTCATTGGTGCTGTTGGTGAGCACACCCTGGCCTGGTTTAAAGATCAGCTGCTGCGGCTGCTGTGGCCCACCGGCGACCACAATTAGATTATTCAGTGAGCGGCGATGATGCGGAGGCGGTGTCTGTTGGGGCAATGCTGGAAAGTGTTGTGCGTGCTGCTGCAGTATTTGCTGCATCTGCTGTGCATGCTGTGAATGATGCTTTGGCGGTTGCTGCTGGTGCTGCTGTGGGTTATTCATAAAGCTAGGATAGGAGGAGCTCTTGTACTGTTGCGTCTGATAACCTCCGTTGTAGTCAAACTGCTGTTGAGGCGGCGGCTGCTGCTGCTGTTGCTGATGATGCTGCAACGGATGCTGCAGGCAATTCAGCGAAAAGTTCAGCATATCATTTGAGTTCTTGCGATGATTGATGCGATCGTTGCTACCGTTTTTGGGATCACACTTGCGGGTCTTTCCGTTCCACCTAACCAAAAATAAAATATATGAATTTTAGTAATTTTAAAAATAAGACTTCTGTAAGCCACTTACCTGGGTTTGTTCATATTGCTTGTTGTGCCGCCCGTTGTCTTCACATGATGCAGCTTCGGCACCATCGACATTTTTATCTTGGACAATTTGAACTTGAGCTCCTTTAATTGATTGGCATGATTTACGAATGCCTCGTTGTGTATAGAACGATCCAGTATCCACATGAACACACCCAATGTCTCTTCATCCTGGGCACAGTAAGGATCTTGTTGCAAAGCATTACTGACCAGATCGATAACCTTGAGGAAACGCAATCCAATGTTCTCCTCTTCAGAAATCGATTCTAAAGGCTTCATAGGCGTCAGCACAATGTTTGTGAGTTCCTCAATAGCTGTACTGATCTTCATCTGACCCGTTTGCAGCTCCTGTTCCACTTTGCTGAGTATGTGGGAGCGCTCCTTCAGCTTCTCGATGCACAACGCCAACTTGTGCGAGGCCCCCTTGGTCACGCCAACACTCTGTAAAAAGTCTTCGCTAATCTGCAGCATTTCCTCGTACGTCATGTTCTTAAACAGCTCGATGTACTTATGCAGACGCAGCGACTTCAGCCACAGGCCAATCCCAGACATACCCACATTGCGCGTTTGGAATTTAATGTAGCTGGGCTTAAAATCGTCCAGGCGGGTGTCCGATGTGCTGTTCGGTAATGTACTGTTGGCGCGATGATGCTCAATGGACAACGAAAAGCTGCGCGGCTTATTTGCAAACTGCGCCAGATTCTCCGTTGAATTGGAGCAGTTGTCGTTTACCGTGATCACAGACGAGTTCGATGAGTTCGACGAACAGCTGGAGATCGTTTGTGTGGTCAGGCTGTTTGAGCGTCGCGTCTTAAGCGCCGCAATTTTGCTGTCCAGGCTCCAGCGATTAACGTCACCAAACTGATCGCCCACATAGCCCATCAGTATGGATGCGTACGGCAGTTGCGGCGGAGGTGGTGGTGGTGGCGGCTGCAATAGCTGAGGAAGAATGGAAGCCGCTTGTGAAGGAGTCTGCAAATATGTTTAAAGAATCGTTTAGATATCGTCATCATAGTAAAGGAAAGCGGAAGACCCTGACAGACATCTTTGATTTCGGCAGATTGTTTCAATTGGAGCTATAGATAGCTACGATGCTTATGCAAATGTTTTACTATTTTTTATTATATCACCTTAATCAACTTCTTAAGAATATACGTATATATATATACTTTATGGGACAAATACGTCGCCCTTAGTAGGTTATGTTATGCAAGGGAAAGCTTATAATACCCTCTGCAAAATTAAACTTTATAGTGTTGCTTACCTGTTGCTGGCTAATGTTGGCACTGCAAATGCCACTTGTCTCGGCACTTCCATTGACAACACCATCGCAATGGGTCGGCTCAAAGTCGAGGATTTCGGTGCCGTTCTTGCTGAATGAGGTGTCATGATCATCGTTGCCACCGATGCCCAAAATGGAGCCCGCTGCAGCGCCAGCAACGACGCCATTGACCAGGGACGAGTTGCTGCCCAGGGAGAGTCCTAAGCTATTCTGACTAGATGCTAATTCGTTCAGTGTAATACCATTTAAATTATCACAGAGTGGATTGATAGAGCCACAGGAGCCGCTAACGCTGCCGCGCCATTCGCCTGGCTGCCTGGGCAGCTGTTTGCTGTGGTGTCTGCTGGGTGGCGCAATAGTTTGCCAATCAACGCTGCGCGTCAAGTTGCCCAGCGATGAGGAGGACGACGATGAGCTATCCGAAGTGGTGCCCGTGGTCATTTGCAGTTGCAGCTGCTCCGGTTGCACAAAGTAGCTGCTGCGCTTGTTCGCCTGTATATGATCCTCGAGATGCCGTAACCACACATTTAGCGAACGTCGATCATCGCTGCCAATGGCGGGATGTATGAGCATATACGAGAATATCTGTTGCACCAGCTCGGTGGGCACCAGCTGTTGAGCTGTGTCCTTTACCGCGAGCGGTATCAGCATCATGTAGCTGAGCTTGGCCTCCTCGTTGCCGGGCTTAAGCAAAGGCAGCATATTAAGCACCTCGTGCAGTATATCCTCCTTGCGTGCGTACAATTTGCGCTCGTCCGCGCACTGTGTTGGGTTTGTGCTGCTGGTTATCTGAAAGTCGCTGCCATAGCAGTGCATTGAGTCCTTGTCCGATGAGGAGGAGGACATGCCGTCTACTAAATCGTTCGACTGACACGTTTTGTAAGCACTCAATAGGTTTTGCAAGTAGGCCGGATTGTTTGCATTTATGTCAATGACGACGCTGCTCAAAGTCGACTGGCATGTGCCCAGATTCTGTGTCAAGTTGTTGTCTATGGAATACTGTAGAAACTTAAGGCTCGGATAGCGCAGTCGCTTCAGCAGCGCATACATGACCACTGTGCGCTCACAATCGTTCCACTTCTCAAACAGATTCGTCACTGTCGTCACCTGCTCGCAAAATAAAGCATTTGTTGCCGCCTGTGTGGCAGGCTGTTGGGCATCGCCGTTGGCATTGGTATCAGCTTGGTTGTCGGTATTGGGATTGGGATTAGGATTCGAAGTGGCGGCCGCAGTGGTGCCGGCACTTGTCGTTACTACGGATTGTTGCTCCTGCAGCTGCTGCTGCTGCTGCTGCTGTTGTGTGCTAGTGACTCCTGATTGCAATTCGTTTAATGGATTCTGAGAGTCGCTGCTGCTGCTGCTGCTGCCCGTGGGCAGCGCGTTGTCTGGTCCTGTTGTGTACTTCATATCGTTGTTGCCGCAGGTCTTCAGTTACTCAATAAATAGTTTCGTATGGATTTATTGTTTATTATTACAATCGTTACGAGTTTGTAGTGTATATATTTATTTTTTGGTTAAGTTGCCAGCTCTGCAATTAGAAATATAAACGAATTATAAATAGGATTAGTATCAATTTACAAGAAACTCGTCTTTTGTCGTGCTTTTTTTTTATCAGTTGTGAAATTGTTTACTCTGCTATTGTTCCATTTCCATTTGTTCCCATAGCTCATTCGGAATATTTACAAAGTGCAATTCGATGAGTTTCAATATTTTGCATTGCTGGAGAGTTAGTTTAATAATTGTGGGTCATGCAATGTTGTATATACCAAGCCGCGTGATCAGCACGAATCACGTCACAAACGGAAAGAATTTTTCCCCTGCTTTAACTGTTGTTGTTGTTCCCATTTCGGGCGATAATAGATGTCAAGCGGGTATGTCGCCGAAGCCGACGGCGACGCCGACGACAACATTCAAAGTTAATCAAATCAATTTTTTGCTAATTTATTAAATTTACAAATGCTGCGACAATAACAAAAATTGCAACCTGACAAATACGACAAGCGAAAATATGAATTATGATGAAATGTGAAAAGGAAAAAAATTAGCATTCATTGTGGCCCGTTCCATAAGTTCGTCGCTTGGACGTCGGACGCCGGTGGTCGGGAGGCACCTACGGTGGCTCTTATCAGAAAAATAAATAAATAAATAACGAGTTTGGTACATAACACCTTCGCCTGGAGCTTTGCGGTGGCGATAAATCAATAATAATACTACACATTTTCAAATCATTATTTACCTATTAGGTTTAAGCTTGTCTAGCCATGGGAGAGGGCGGGGGCAAGGGTCGGGGGACGGAATGATTCTGAATAAGTGTGGTTAGGTTTTTGCGATTTACACTTTTCATTTAATTTCGTTACGCTTTATTTTATTTTTTCTTCTTTTATACGCTGTGCTCATTTCGAACGGGTATCATAAAGCTTGTTACAGTAGATGTTGTAGTTGTTTCGCTAGCGACTTTCTTCGATTTTTTTTTTATTGCTGTTGTTGTTGTCTACTGTTACAATTTTAAAGCTCTCTCAGCAATGCAGCTGTGTCAATGTACATACATATATGTATATGTTTGTATGTATGTGTGTACATGAGCAAGCATTAAAACATAACGGACCCAATTACAGTTTAAAGAGCGGTCAAGTGGAATTTACTGGTTTTTTTTTTCAACTTTTTTTTTAGGTGGGATTTCACATTTTTTGTTTAATTGCAGCACACAATTACGTTTGAACAATATTTTATCTGCTTAAGCTAAAACCAAATCAAAAAAAATAAATCATCTTCACAAATGGCGCGCTTCAATGTAACGGTAACTAGGCAACAGTTTCAATGTTTTTTGAGGTTATGTGTCAGTACTGCTGTTAATTTTACACAGGCACCCACACACAAGCAGCTACATTATTAACCGGCCTAAAATTACACAGCAATAATAGCTGTCAATTCGCCAAAGTTCAATAAACGGCACATACATACATTTTTATTGGGGGAAAACAGGCATTAAACAACAATAACAACTGCCATTGTAGGGTACTCACAAATGTTTTTCATGTATAGCTGCTAACTCAGCAACAGCGATAGTATTCGTTAAGCATTTTTCTTTTCGCGCTCTGTTGTTTTATTTTGTATTTTGCATGCCTAATATAAATTTGATTATCTGCACTCGAATAAACACAAACAGAAATGAGGATTAAACAAAACGAAGCCAGGCAGGCAGGCAGGCACAACCCAGCTATAATTGCTGCAACGGGCACGCTATGGGGAGCACTGAGGATGGCAACTGCAGCGGACAAACCCAGAAGCAGAAGCAGAGCAACAGCGACGGGCGAGAGAATGACGATGATTGGCGCTGGCGTTGGTGGCGTCAGCTAATGTAGCTGGCGTTTTTTAAAATGGTGGAGCCTGCAAAATTAACTCTCAGCACAGCAGCAAAGCAAAGCGAACGCGCGCCTTTTTTTTTTTTTTTACAGAATCGAAGGAACTTGCATTAGTACTGCAGCCTTACGCGAGCAGTGGGGGAGAGCACATCTATATATTAAATACATACACACACACGGCTGCACATACATGTATGCGACTGTGTGTGTGACGGAATGCAAGCGACAATATGTCGCGCGCTACAAAACGACCTACCGACCCCAAAGCAAAGCGCGCTCTCACATGCACACACACATACACACGCGCACATACGGAAACAGCCAGAATGCACAAGCAAAAATTGCGGCAAATTACATGAGATTACAAAGCAGGCAGGCATTTGCTCTCATCTTCTTCTTCTTCGCAGTGCCTCTGGTTCTGTTGTTGTTTTTATGCCTGCTTTCGCAACCCAGAGGCGCTGCACAATTGTTTTCATGTCGCTTCTTTTCAATTGCACACTTTCGGTTCCGTTTTGGGCAAGTGCTTCTGTCGTCCACACATACGCGACAAACACGCTCGCTGTTTTGTTTTGCTGCTGAGACGACCAGCTGCCCCCAAATCACGCCCCACCCACCCAGTCATAGACAAAACGTTAACAACAACACAATACCATAGACTATACACTGCGCTCTGCGCTTGTGCCAAAATCGTTCTATTTTTCAATTACCTTTTGCTTTCTATTCGCTTGCTCACGCTGCAAACCTTGAAATTATTTTCACACAGTTTTGATCGTTCCGAAATACGAGCATATTTCGTTAACTTGATATGAGTATGCTATCGGATCGCGCATCCATTAATTTTTGTATAATTTTCACCTTGACTTGGCTTTGTTATTCTCTGTATTTCAGTCTTGCAAAATCATACTACATCGCCTTTTTTAGCTGACTCTGGCATCACCACGACATACTTGCGCGTGCACGCAACACATTTTGGGATAAAACGAAATAAAACTGCATACAACTGTATCCGCTCGCAGTTGTTTGCATTTCTTTCTTTTTATTGCAAATTTATACTATATTATTATAGTTAATTAATTATTAATTCACGCAAACGCGACGACGTTCTCGCTCGTAGAAAGTGCTGCTGGAGATGGAGATGACAAATAAAGTAAAGTCGGGTTGGAGTGATTTAGTTCACGTGAACTGAACCACAATCTAACTACAAATTCGATATGTTAAATGGTATAATTTTAATCATGGTGGATTCGTATCTTATTTTTTAAAAACTAATTGGGAAATAGCAAATATTTATCATTTATGATATCATATTTATATAATAGGTATATACATCAATGTGCTAACTTACAAATAGATCTCAGTAAATCGAATCAGTTTTTAAATTTCGCTGTTCAAAGAACCGGTTCCACATCTCTACCGATGATTAGTTCATCGATATTTTTAGTCCTGAGCTGCCACCCTGTTGAAACTTCGTTCAACCCAACTTGTTCACTTACAATATACGAGCTAGGGGCTAATGAAAATGAAAAATTGTTATTGGAAAATTGAGTGCTACTGCAAAATGCAATTGCAATGCACATTAAATAAGTAGATGTCAAAACACTGCGAATTGTTAATTTACCGCGCAATCAACAATATAACCCATCGAAAACAATACCATCATAAAAACAAATAAGCTGCAGCTACTGCGAGCAAAAACAACAAAAACCACATAACTTTTTTTGTAAAAAAAAATGTTTGCACAAACGGAATCACATAAAAACAATTTTTTGGAGTATACGAAGGCGGCACGAGAGGAGCGCGCCCTTGAGAAGCGACGAGAGGAGGCTGCCATTTTGTTGCAAGCGACTCTTAAAGGATATGCAGCCCGTAGCAAGTACCAGAAATGCATAATGTAAGTTCCCTAACAAACGTCAAAATACTCCTTAATTCAGTACTGCACATTCCCTTAACAACAGCAACGACTTTGATGCCCTTTTTATGGGCTGTCATGGGGGCGATGAGAAGGACGAGAAGGATACGGATCTGTTGCCCGCTGTTCATGCATATCCTGTGCTTCGTCGCTACCTAACACAAATCAAATTGGACAAAAACGATGGACGCACGCGTGATCGCCTGGAGCGCATTTGTCGCTATGTAAACCGAGCAATGGAAGTGGATAATCCAAAGTTGTCGTATGCGGCCTTGTGCTTGCACAAGGAGCGCAGCCTGCCCTGGATTGGACACATTAAACAATTGTTGACCAATTGCATGCAGCTTTTGCCAGAACTAAAACCTGAGAATCATGCTGATAGCATATCACTAGCCCTCTTCTTACACACACTCATTGTGTTCACTGCTCCTAAATCATGGGCCGTACTGCGGAATGCCCAATTTGAGCGACTGCAGCCGGCCATGCAGAAGATCTGTTGCAATGTTCAGGGACACTTGGTTCATCACGGATTCTATAAGACTATGCGGGTAAGTTTGCATTTATTTAGATTTTTTGTTTGAAAGTGTAGATGATTCCAATGATACAAATGATATCTTTGATAATTTTAATTTTCAGATTATTCTGCTAAAAGGAACCGCACGCGAGGAATTGTCCGTCAAGCCGGTGACGCTCGTTGCAATAATCACGCTTTGCCTACGCCCTCTCATCGATGGCGATTTTAGTCGCAATCTTCTTTCACAATTTCTCAGCGAAATACTTTCAGTGCCGGCGCTTATTTATCATTTGCATCAGAGCGTTCCGCAGTGCATTGAACAATTCAGCTCCATGTCGCTGCTAAAGCGAGCCTTGAACATATCGGAGGACTATCAGTGGTTCGAAGAATTCTCTGCCAGCATGTCGGGCACGAAATCTTTGGCATATTTGGGCAACATTGTAAATCTGTTCAACATTGAGAATTTAGCCGAGGCCAAGAAGTTGGCCTATCCGCTATTGACTGTAAGTAGAAAACAATATATTTAATTGCCTCATTTTATGTGTAATGTTTGCAGGAGACGACCACATCGTTGCTGGAATTAATACCCAACACGGTGACCACCAAAGGCGTCTTCACACAGTGGCACGAGCTTCTCGGCTGGCACACACCCTGTGCGGAACCTGCGCAGAACCAGAATGTTGCACTGATCAAGAAACAGTTTCATATGCTGTGGGACCATCGCTGCATTAAGCTGCTCCTCGGGGATCTGCTGAAGGAAATCAACGAAAACTACGAACGCATTGAGTTTCATTCACCGCAGCAGCCCTCAACCAGCAATTTGATACGTCGCGCTCTGGAGCGCAGCTCCACACGTGGAAGTGGCTTGTTGGCCAGCGCTGCTGGCAAGCAGGCAAAGGTGCAATGGCGCAAGCTGGACAATGGCAATGTGGTTCAAGTGTCTCGAATTTGTGGCATGTATTATGCGGCCTTAAACACACTCTCCCAAATGAAACTGGACATTCTCACTGGCATTTGCTACAATGATAATGTGCTATATGATATTTGGCTGCTGCTGACCTCGTTGGGACCCAACTGCGGCATGAAGGAGTATCTGGACTTGTTGAGATGCGAGACGTTAGTGCAAAAGCCACAGATAGCCATGCTGATGCTGTTCTGTGACTGCATGACACACTATGTGACGTATGTGCTATTTATGATTCCAGTTTTAAGCTTTTTTTTAAATTTAACCTCTCTGTTTACAGCATTCTGGACGAATATGAAATGTATACGGAACAGAATCCCTTTCGATTAAACGACTATGTTATGCTAACCTATTTTCTCAATAATATTCTCTACAAACTGATTAATGACAACATTTTGGGTATGAATGAAACATTCGCATTTGGTTAAAAGTTTATTAAACTAACTGGATTGTTTTATACTTTCTAGGTGCCAAGAACATTGTACAGAATCCGGTGTTTGTTTCGCTTCATACGCTGTTGCTATGTTTATATCGGCGCGACTGTCGACGTCCCTTCACACCCCCAAACCACTGGCTCATACCAGAGGTCAAGCCATCGACTTTCATTAATGATCTGGAGAAGGCCAAGCGCAATGCAATGCTGCTGCTGGCCAAGATGCCACATATTATACCACACGAGGATCGGGTCAAGTTGTTTCGGAAGTTTGTACAAAACGAGAAGGCTGTGATGGGTCTGACGGAGAGCGCGTGTGCCTCACCGCGCTCAGCGCTGATTGTCATTCATCGCGAGCGTATTGTTGAAGATGGCTACCGTCAGTTAGTGGCACAGCCCACACATGCGCTGAAAGGTGTAATACGAGTGCGCTTTATCAATCAGCAGGGACTGCACGAGGCGGGTATTGATCAGGATGGTGTTTTTAAGGAGTTCCTGGAAGAGACCATAAAGAAAGTGTTTGATCCATCGCTGAACTTATTCAAAACCACCTCCGATCAGCGACTATATCCATCGCCCATTTCTTATGTTCAGGACAATCATTTGCAATTGTTTGAGTTTGTGGGAAGAATGCTCGGCAAGGCGGTTTACGAGGGCATTGTGGTGGATGTGCCGTTTGCTTCGTTCTTTCTTTCCCAACTGCTGGGGCAAACTCAGCAAGCGCTCTACTCCTGCATGGATGAGCTGCCCTCACTGGACAACGAACTCTACCGCAGCCTTACATTTATCAAACATTATAAGCAGGATGTCGCCGATTTGAACTTGACTTTCTCTGTCGATCAGGATGTGATGGGCAAGATTGTTACACACGAACTGCACCCTGGTGGCAAGGCGCGCGTAGTGAACGATCACAACAAGCTGGTCTATATACACTACATGGCCTACTTTCATATGAACACCCAGATTCGCGAGCAGACGCAGGCGTTCAATCGCGGCTTTCGCAGCATTGTCAATCCCGAGTGGCTATCGTTGTTTTCGCCGCCGGAACTGCAGCGTCTTATTTCGGGTGACACTGTACCGTTGGACCTGAAAGATTTGCGTAAGCATACACAATATTACGGCGGCTTCCATGACTCACATCGCGTTGTTGGCTGGCTGTGGGATATACTTGCCAAGGACTTCACGGAGGACGAACGCAAACTGTTTCTCAAGGTACGCAGCTAAAGGACATTTTTAAATTTATCTAGTTTATAATGATAATTTTCTAGTTTGTCACCAGCTGTTCCAAACCACCATTGTTGGGCTTTGCGCACCTTGAGCCGCCGTTTTCCATACGCTGCGTGGAGGTGGGCGACGATGAAGACACCGGTGACACAATAGGCAGCGTTATACGCGGCTTCTTTACCATACGCAAAAAGGATCCGCTTAATCGGCTTCCCACCTCGTCCACTTGCTTTAACCTGCTTAAGCTGCCCAACTATCAGAAGAAGTCAACGCTCAGAGATAAGCTGCGCTATGCCGTCAGCAGCAATACAGGCTTTGAGCTGTCCTAAAACTGTAGCTGGAGCTGGAGAGGCAGCTGGAGCTGGAGCTGGTCATGTAGCTGCTACATATCAATTGCGTATTGAGCTTTCGGTGTTGTTATTTTTTCCCTTTGTTTTTCTTGGCCCATAAGTCTTGCAGAAATGTTGTTATATATGTATTCTTATTAATACCCCCTACTTTTTATATTTTTATCAACATTTTCATGTTGAATTTTTATACTTGTAAGTTTCTTGCAATTGTAAGTATATATGTGTGTGTGTGCGTGTGTGATTGTGTGCGTGTGTGTAGGTATTTTATGAAATATATTTTTAAAAACCAAATTAAAAAAAAACAAAATTAAATATAAAAATATATATCTATATATGTATATGCATAAACGTATAGCTGTGATAAACATTTAAATAAACTAACGACAAATACACAAACAAAAATATGAAGCTGAATTAACATGAAAAATAAAAATGAAACAAAAACCCACATAGTTAAATTGAAATTAATATAAGATTAAAATGAAATATTGTATGATACGTGGCTTGCGTGTGATAAATCCGCATATTACATAAGTTACTTGTAAAATATTGAAACCCTAAAGGAACAGCAACAATAAATCTATATGTCTGATTCATGTGCAAAACGTAAGCTCGCAGCTCGTTTGCTTAATGTACGTGTGTCGACTTTGCATGGTAGCCTAAGCGCATTGCCAAAGATAATAAACAAATTTGGAAGCCAAAGGACAGCAATTAGTGAATGACTGCTCGAAATTTCCCCGGGTTTTTCCGGGAGCTGGCAATGAATGAGAGCCGGAGACGAGGTCTGGGCCGTTGCGTCGCGCGCGCTATTAACACAAATCCGTCTGGACTGTGGCTTCTGTGAAGGAACGCTAATTGCCTGAGTCATGAGTAGATAGGAAGGAAGTGCACTTAGGGCTTCGTATAAGCGGAATTGTTGCGCAGTATTTCTGCAAACCTGGTCAAATTACCGGATACTCATTTGACTAATGACTCAATGTGAATTTTGCTAGATAAGAAAGGGTTTCGGGTTCCATTTACAATCTTTTATTTCACGAATATTATTTGACATTTTTCCATCGCAAAGGATCTCAGGTGTTCCGGTTTGTCTTTTATGCTCCAAGCTGTCCGTCCTTGCGGTTCTGTCGTGTCTCTCCAGTCTAGACAATAAAACTAAATTGCATAGTCGACCCACAAACATACAATAATCATAACAATAATAGCCAAAATGCCTCATGGACACGACAACGGTCGGCGGTCGGGCCATAAAATGCACATCCTTTGTGGCTATTGTTCGCAGCATCCCATGGGACAAAGTGTGATCGTTTTTATGACTCGCCTGTGAGTTTATGCCGACACTGACGCCGACATTGTCATTTTTGTCGTCCTACTGGTACCCGGACAAGTGGCAAAAGGTGACTGCAACTGGCAGTCAAGTGGCCTTTGCGGCTGTCGCCTCTCGCCTGGCGCCAGCTTGATGTGCCTCAACAAATTGTTGCGCCCCTCCAGCTACAAGTACCGTTTAAGATTTGATTACGGCAACTTATCACCAGGCGGATCTCTCTTTGCTTTCGGTCCACGGTAGCGATACAATTTTTGGCTTCCATGAGCGCCAGCTTGTATGCTGATTTAAGATAAGTCCCAAGTACACGTATCCTCTTCAGCCAGATGTGAGATTGCCAGTCGAGTGTGATTTGTGTGTAAGTATTTACAAGATGAAACAGAAAAGGATGTGGCCTGTGGCGTTATAAATTTAACATACAAAAAAGAGAGAGATTTAATGTGTGCATAGTATAAGTTTTATTGAAAATTCTGATATAAGTTTTCAAATTATTCTAAATTATTAAGATCAGAAAGAATGGCTAACTTTCGTATGCCGATAATTTGGAAGACATATAGTGAAGTTATGCAAGCTACATAGACAATAGATCATGATTAGCTCTGCTAAGCTTTATGGGGTCGCAGAAGACTTGCATAGAATAGTTCTTGACATAAATATAATGAAATAAGAATAAGCACACAAATATTTCGAAGGGCTCTGTTCTTGGCATTGTTTATTTGGATAAAATGGTTTTTCGGCTTAGAAACCAAGAAATCTCTATTACGCCTTTCAATATAAACTCTTTTAAGCTAATAGGCCATCATGATTTGGCCCAGATCTAAAAACATTTCCATTTCCATTTGCATTACTATTTATAATCAAATGTATAGTTCAAAGAGATGCCCCCAATGCAATCAATGCTATCAACAATAATACGGGCGCCCATTATTTTAGCTCGAGCAAATGTAGAAAATGTATTTCAAAATGGCGCACCCATCGGCGAGAGCGAGACCGCAAGCGCGGCGACCAATGCGAGCTCTGTAGATGAGAGAGCGCTAACTGGAAGCCGTTAGAGCGGAGAAACAGGTCGTGCCGCTACCTGATGCGACGGGAGAGAGCCGAAAACTGAACCGACCGGATTCTGCTGGAATTGAATTTCTAGCGCACGATTTTCAGAGCGCAACAGTTTCAATTTGAACAGCGAGGCGAGCAGTTCGTTAGCAAGAAATAGTAAGATTTAAGAGAATTAAATAAAAGAAGAAGCAACACGTTTTGAGCGTGATCAATAGACGCGTACTGAACATTATTAATATTTACCAAGAGCACTTGAGGTTAAATATGTTGGCACTGCCGAACATTGCCGATCTGCGCATGCAGCAGCAGATCGCCCATGAGATTTATCGCCAGCAAATTATGCAACGCCTGCCAGGTATGAAGTATATATGAGTGTTATCTATGCTTTGCCGTCGGCTATAACATCGTTTGTATCTCTTGCAGATCCACTGTGCGGCCTATTGCCCAATTTCGGCACACATTTTGTGGCACCACCAGCACCGATGCAGCCCACACTGCCGGGCGTGGAGGCTAAGCTGGAGAACAATGAATTGTGGCAGCAGTTCCATCACATTGGCACCGAAATGATCATCACAAAGAGTGGAAGGTATGTAGGGGCCATCATTTGCTTAGTCTATCTGTGTCAGCCAGCTTATCTCATACTCATAAGTATGGCACGCAGGCTGCGATAAGGCATAGAATGAGATCACATAACACGTTAGTTACCGCCATTATGATTGCCTCACTTTATCCAGACGCATGTTTCCCTCGATGCGCGTTTCGCTGAGCGGCCTGGAGGAGGAGGCCAGCTATTGCGTGCTGCTGGAAATGGTGCCCATTGGCGATTGCCGCTACAAGTTCTCCGGCTCGCAGTGGGTGCCAGCTGGCGGTGCCGAGCCGCAGAGTCCACAGCGCATGTTTCTGCACCCGGATAGTCCGGCGACGGGCAAGCACTGGCAGTCTCAGGCGCTGCTCTTCAGCAAAGTAAAACTCACCAACAATACGCTGGACAACAATGGACATGTAGGTGTAGTCTCCCAATCGAAACGCTCCACAGTCACTTATCAGAAAATATCTGCTTATCTCGCACAGATTGTCTTGGCCAGCATGCACAAGTATCAGCCCCGTTTGCATGTCATACGCACCGCTGATCTGACGCAGATACCCTGGGCTCCACAGCAGGCCTACGTCTTTCCCGAAACGGAGTTTATAGCGGTGACAGCCTATCAGGTATGTGATCTAAGCCCCATTCGATCAATTGATGAGTTACTAATGTTTCACTTCCATATTGCAGAATGATCGCATCACGAAGTTGAAGATTGACAACAATCCCTTTGCCAAGGGCTTTCGTGAGTCAGGTCAGTCGCGCTGCAAGCGCAAGCTTAGCGAGTCCCCTCCTGCAACTGCTCAGGCGAGCACAGCAGGAACAGGAGCTGCCAGCGATATGGAGCGCACAGTTTCGCCGTCGGCTAAACGCATGCGTCTGACCGACGAGCTGTCGATGCCGCACCAGCAGCCCGCTGGTCTACTAGTGCCGCGCCATTATCTGCTGGATACACTGGAGGCCAATATCTTTCTGTCAGCGCCACCGCCGGCCCTGGCATCCATTCAATATGCCAGACACATCGCCAGCTATCCAAGTTGGGCGCACTCGCCGCCATCGCCCGACTCGTCGTGCGCCTCCTCCAGCTGTGACTCGGCCGCGGAGCCAGAGACCGATACCTTTGTAGACGTAGTGGGCACCACGACCAGCACAGCTGAGCCCGACCTGGAATCCGAATCGATTAGCCGAATCGCTGGTATTGCCAATGCTGCCGCAGCAGCTGCCGTTTTGCCAAAGCCCAAGCGCAGCAGCTTCAGCATCTTGGACATATTAGGAACGAGCGTCTCGATTTAGCTGCCGTGCGGAGCAGCAGTTGCTGCTCCCATTTCAGTTGTTGCTCCTAAGTGCCTTATACATTTAATTAGCGTTTAGTTGCCAGCGTCGTCTGCGGCGTAGTCAGTAAGTTAAATTGTGATATTTTGCAGTTAATTAAGATTTCCAGGTATTTACCATCAGTATTTATCCTAAGTATTTATTATGCAATTTTAATTGTTTAAATGATTTCGTAATGGATTTATTGTCTTTGGCATTTTAATGCGCGCAAATAAAGATTTTTTAGAAGAATTTCAGCTAAGCATTTTTTTATAGCTGCATTAAAAGATCAAGGAATACCTGAAATCGTTGCTTAATATAATTGTAGAGCTTTGCCTCGGGCAATATTCAATATCATTATAAAAAATGTATCACAAGAAAAGTTTTCACTTAATTGACACTGAAAGTAAATATACTTAATTTAGTTGTCGCTTCCTATGTACTCTGCCTAGGTTTGGTTAACAATTTATAGAGCTAGCAGAATTATACATCTTCGACTCCATATGTTATGCATATATTCCTTGTAGTCCAGTGTAAAGTCTCATAAGCATATGTCAGAATCTGCCTTAGTTGAGTGGCAAAAAGAAAATCTAAGTTTGGTATTTCCTTCCTTGATCAAAAGAACATAGACATTGGAATCTATATCATGTGAATAGCTCTATAGGATCAAATAACTAGAAGTAAAGTTTTTGTATAAAACTTTCTAGGCAATATGTATTAAATCAGTTCGTCTTTGTAAGACTATTATCTGTAGTCCCATAATCTCTCTTGACCTGAGGCATTAATTTAGATTTAGCTGAGTTTTCATTTAGTTTTTAAGTCTTTTCTGTGCTTCCATTTTGCTCACATTTTTTGTATGCATAAGTGCGT